CCAGGAATTGGTTATATTCTTGAAATAGTGAAATTTTATAACGTAATTTAACATTCTTACTAGCAAATATTACTCTAAACTATACATTTGGGGGTGGGGTGTTGATTTTGTGGTGTTCTGCTTCTATCACTGTCGTTGTTTGATTCCACAGTATTCTAATTGTTAGAGAAATCATTCACAAAACTGCCCCAAACACCACTTTTATTAAAAGTTATACCCTGTGATTTGAACAGTTCAGTCTTGCTCACTAAATAGTGCAAAGACTCCAAATCTTCATAAGGACGAATATTTTCAAACTGAGCATGACTGCTGTAAGGTATTTTCCTTTTCAATTTAATGGGTACTGTTTCTGATTTACTTAATGTTAGTGGTAAATTCACAATTGTGCTATTTACATTAGCAACTACGTTGACAATATTACCACGGATACTTAATTGACCACCACGTAGTAGCTCACGTATTTGCATAAATGGAATTCCTGGAGAAATCAATCTTTCTTCAAGTAGGTATAAACTTAATTTAGGATTTTTGTCAGGAAATTTCATTTTATTAGCATATAAATATGATGGGATAACTCGCCTTTTCATGGAATTAGAACAAGTATTACATATCCATTGTTTATCACTTACTGATTTAAAATCAGTTACACATAATTTAGCAAGTTTCTTATTATATATTTATCATGATTACATTCAACAACAGAATGTCTATACCATGTTTAATAACAGCAATTACATACATATTCTTGTCCTTCAGATACATCTCTCTGAAATTCATTAATGAGTTCACTAAATCGATCGTTTCCAACTGCATTTTTACATTTCAATCTCTTAGCTTTACACTTTTTCTCAAGTTGTTGTATATTTTTTTACTTTTAAATTTCTTTGCATTCTTCTCCTTCTCCAACTGTTATACATTTTTTCGACTTAACCTCTTCACGTTACACTCTTCCTCAAGTTGTTGTAGTACATTTTTACTCTTTAATCTCATTGCATTTTTCTCCTTCTCTAATTGTTCTATATGTTTCCTCTTTAGTCTCACTGCATTCTTCTATATTTGACCTCATTGCATATTTCTACTTTTCCAATGTTCCATACTTAATTTTCTTAAATATCTTTTCTTCTCCAGATATTTCTTTTTCTAGACTCTGATTGATTGTTTTGTATACTCTCTCTTACGATAAATAACATCAGCTTTCACATGCCTATTTTTTATTTCATCAAGCTCAATTTGCCTGTGTAATTCTTTACTTAACATATCATATTGAAGAGATGAACTAACATCAGCCTTATTTTGAACATGA